CAGTGTGCAGCTCTGGCCTGTGCTGGTGGCTACAAAGCCACAGGCAAGTGGCTTTTTCATGAATTTATGACTTTTTAAAAAGTTGGGTGCCAATATGTAACACGAGTTCTAATAGTTCTTAATAATGAAAGTCCAGAGTCAGATGTAGGGGAAAACACTGAGAGATCAGGGAGATGAGGAGAAAAACCACAGCCACCTTACCCATTCAACTTCCCAGCCAAAGAGACTGAGCTTCTATCTCCTCCTGCTTTATCACTTCCTCTCTCCTCTCAGCCATCTCACTTCCTGTCTGGCTGTACTGACCTCCAGAACTCTATGGTTAACTAGTGGCTAGCTCTGCCCTCTCATCTTCAGGCAAGCTTTATTTGTTAGAGTATAAACAAGATATCCAAACTGCAACCCCCCCTTTTTTTTTATCTAAAATAAAAGGTTATAACTAATATAAGAAAAACTATATACAATAAGTATAATAACTATATATAATATATAAAGGCAGTAAATACATCTACACTGTGTAGTCCAATAATAATTGACAAATTCAGAGAAAATACTTCATATCTATCCTATTTGCTGAGTTCAAAAGGTTATACTTAACCACTGTGACCTGGTTCTTTTCTTCTGTCACCCTGCTGATCCCATCCAAAAGAAAAGTCTTGGTGAGATGCTCCCAAGTCTCTCTCAACGTTGAGTTCCTTTAACAGACAGGGCAGGCATGGGACTTGATTAAATTTCAAATAGGTGGGGGGGAGGGAAGAGGAGGCACAGCTGTAGCTTGTCATGCAGGAGGAGGCAGGAAGGTCTTGAGTACAAGACCAGCCTGGAATAGATAGACAGTGGGACCTTCTCTCAAAAATTAAAGATGAAAGGGCTGGGGCACAGTTGGCTCAGTTGGTAAAGCATTTGCCTTGCAAGCATGCAGACCTGAGTTTATCCTAAGAACACAAGTGTGATGGTTTGAAAGAAAATGGCCCATAGGGAGTGGCACTGTTAGGAGGTGTGGCCTTGTTGGAGGATGTGTACTGTGGGGGTGGGCTTTGAGGGCTCCTTTGCTCAAGCTACACAGTGACACAGTTCACTTCCTGCTGCCTGCAGATCAAGATGTAGAACTCTCAGCTTTTTCTCCAGCACCATCTCTGCCTAAAGTCACCATGTTCCGGGATGATGATGATGACAATGGACTAAACCTCTGAACTGTAAGCCAGCCCCAGCTAAATGTTTTCCTTTATAAGAGTTGCTGGGGTCATGGTGTCTCTTGGTAGCAATAGAAACCCTGGCTAAGACACCAAGTAAAAAGAAAAAAAAATGCTGGGAGCAGTATGGTGGTGGTGGTGCACACTTTTAATACCAGCAGTCAGGAGGCAGAGGCAGGCAGATCTCTGTGTTAGAGGCCAGCCTGGTCTACAGAACAAGTTCCATGACAGCCAGTGCTACACAGAGAAACCCTGACTTAAAAATATAAAAGAAGCTGGGCATGGTGGTATGCACTTGTAATCCTGGGGCTGTAAAGGCAGAGAAAGGAGGATACCTGGGGCTTTCTGCTCAGTCATCTTAGTCTAATTGGTGAGCTTTGGGCAAGTGAGAGACTCTAGCAAAAAATCAAGATGGCAGTACTTGAGTGTACTGGTTAGTTTTATGTCAACTTGACACAAGCTGAAGTCATCTGAGAGGAGGGAGCCTCAACTGAGAAAATGCCTCTGTAAGATCAGACTGTAGGCAGACCTGTAGGCATTTTCTTAATTAATGATTGATGCGGGAGTGCCTAGCCCATTGTGGGTGGTGTCATCCCTGAGCTAGTGGTCCTGGATTCTACAAGACAGCAAGCTGAGCAAGCCAATAAGCAACTCCCCTCCATGGCCTCTGCATCAGCTCCTACCTCCAGGTTCCTGCCCTGTTTGGGTTCCTGTCCTGGCTTCCTTTGATGATGAATGGTGATGTGGAAATGTGAGCTGAATAAACCCTTTCCTCCCTGAATAGCATTGGTCATGGTGTTTCATCACAACAATAGTAACCATAAGACATTGAGGAACAATGCCTGAGGCTGTCTTCTGGCCTCCACATGCACAAACACACATGCATGCACATATAATGTTATCTGCAAACACATGAACACACACACACAAACTCACATACAAATACAAATACCATATACCACTAAATTCCAACGAAACCCAAACCCAAACCCCACCAACTGAACTCTAAAAAGGAGTTCTCTGGGTTTGCTATGAGCTTGTTTGTGTGGCAGTGTGCATTCCTGGCAAGCTGGCATGCAGAACCATGACTGTCTAGGGAAGGCACATCTGTGTCCTAATCTCTGGAACCTGTGGTCATGACTATTTGGCATTAGGGTCTTTGCAGATATCGGCAGGATGAGGATCTTATGAGGTCATCCTGAACCAGGGTGGGTCCTTGTCCCATGACTGGTGTCGTCTTCAGGGTAGGGAGAGGGTATAAGGCATGGAGACCCAGAGCCATGTGACCATGGACCTAGAGCCTCATGACACCCATTAGGACACTGAGGCTTGCAGACCTTGAGAAACTGGGAGAGAGGCATGGAATAGGGTCTCCCTTGTCTTCCAGAAGGTGCCAGCTGTGCTGAGCTTGAGCTTGCATTTGTGTCCTCCATAGTCATGGGAGAACAAACTCCTGTCACTTCCATCCTGCTAGGAGTGTGTTAGCATGGCCTAGGACCAAGGTAGAGCAGGGTCCTCTAGGTGCAATCTCCAACTTCCATAGGCTAGGTTGAGAAAGTGAGTCTTGTGCGCAGGTGTGTGTCTGGATGAGTGCAGCTGCTATCAGGAAGGGATGCTGAGTGAGGTGTGGGAGCATCAGAGGAGGGCAGGGCACAGGTGCCAGGCTAAGTGCAGAGCCTGGTAGCTAGGGCCTTAGTTGTGGTGGATTCTTGCTCTGGGTAAGTGCAATGGTAGTCTTGGTGGCAGAACTATGAGCAGGGAGATTCTGGGGACACCATGGCCTCCCTGGGGGAGAGCAAGGCACGCAAGCTTCTCACTGGGCATCATGTACCCCGGAGTGGATTCCTGGGGAACCCCGTATCTAGTTATGTTAAGCCCACCCTCCTTTAGGCCTCCAGGGTTCTTTCCCAGCACCCCGAAGAGCCATGAAGAAGCAGACACAAGTACAAGGGGCTTTCCTTATCTGGTTGCTTGGGACTCTGTCTTCCCCTCCAGTGAGGGACTCAGATTGCTGGCAGGTAGGATGCTGCCACCCTTACCTGTCCCTCCTGCCTGCAGTGGGCAGGACATACTATGACAGATCTCCAAGGAGACAGTGACAGTAGCTGATCTGCAGGGGGACACCTCCAGCCTTGGGGTGGGGACACAACAGGAAAATGGAAAGTGCCTGGCCCCCAGCCACTGCAGAAGCCACAGGGGAGTCCTGGTTGGGATTAGTCAGTTTTCTCTTGTAACAGATTCCAGAGAAAATCAGTTTATAAAGAGCTGGGGAACAAGTGCTTGGTAAAGTCCTTGCCTTGTAAGTATGAGGACCTGAGTTCAATGCCCAGAACATACATACATACATACATACATACATACATGCAAGCCAGGTGAGGTGACACTTGGAGAGGTAGAGAGAGGATTTCCTAGGTTTCCTGCTGGCCAGGCAGCCTAGGCAAACCAGTGAACTCCAGGCAAAGAGACAGTTTCTGTCTCAAACCGACTGGAGAGTGACTGAGGAATGACAACCATGGTTGGGATCTCTGGCTTCCCACCTTCCACATACATGCATGTATGTTCACATGCACGCACATAGCAAGCCAGTATGACTGACAAGGAGTCAACTAACTCTCCCCACTAAGTTTACTTACATTAAGTACCTTCTCTAGCCTGAAGCCACCAAGACATGCACATGCCCAAAGCAGGGCTGCTTCGGGGTGAAGGAAGCTGTGAGGGTGTGTGTGTGGGCGCTGTTGGTAGCAAGCAGCCCATGTAAGGTGGGCTTTAGGCCCTCCATGAGTGGGTACTTCCTCTGAGCCCAGACAGTGCTAGGGGCTCTCAGAGGGGGTACTGCAGCGATTTGGATGGCTAGGTCTGGGGGCGGGGTCCTTCTAGTTCTGGACTTGAATTCCATATGATTCCAACATGTATCCATGTCTGTGAAGCGCTGCTGAACTTCCTCCTTCCTATCCCAGCCTGGGGACTTCACCTCTGCCATGCAGAGTTCAGATCAGGATGACTGCTCAAGGCCTGCCTCCTGTCCCCTCGTCTGTATATAGGAGACAGCATGAGATAGGACTCCCCCACCCTCATCCGGACCTCTCTACCAGAGGGTCTGGCTCTTGGAAACCCAGAATAGGTAGGGAGACAGCTGAGCCCTCTGACAAGTGTGAAATGTTCCTGCCCCTGTCCATCCTGAGATCACCCCCACCCCTGTGCATGGCTGGACTTCCAAGGAACTAGGACAACCACAGGCCAGAAGGGGAAGGAGGCCATGCTGGTTGACAGCACAGGGCTGGGCCCATTTCTCCTCCAAGGACCCAGAATGAGGTTGGGTGTCCAACTTCTTCTTTTGGGTTTGCTCTCAAGACCCTTACGGCCCCAGGCATTTCTGGGCTAGCTTCAAGTCGGGACATCAGAAGTTATGAAGAACCTTGTGTGTCTAGGTTCAGAGATTTCCAGAACTCACCTTGGTACATGTTGGGGTGAGCAGGAATTGTGGCCACCAGTGTCACTTGGCTGTCCCAGGTGGGGAGTCCTTCCTGAGCCTATCCCAACAGGCAAGGTCACACCAGCCCATATCACATGACAGAGAACAGCAGATGTGCAGCAGCTGAGGAAGAGTAAACCCAAGATCGTGTCCCCCTTTGTGGGTAGGCCCCAGAGAGGACTGCTCCCGGAACTGTCTCAGCAGAGTTGAGATGACAGGGAGGTCTCCAAGTCCTCATGTTCCACCTGATTGGTGGTGACAGGTCAAGGGGTTTGATGACCCTCCCTGTGGCATAGCCTCCTGCCATGGTGCTGAGGAACAGCAGATCACACTCCTGGTCCATTGGTTTTGCTTTTTATTGCCAAGTTCCAATTTACAAGGAAGTTCTAGCTTTCATGCCCCCCATGACAGGTTCAGTCCCCACAAAGTCTAAATCCTGATGGCAGAAGCAAGCACTTCCCTGGCCAGAGCTTTCCAGCCCTGCCCCCGCTTTGCAAGAATCCCTCAGCTTCAGCGCTGAGGGAGGGAGGAAGCTTTTAGTCTTCTACCCGTTGGTACTGTGTGAAGTATATTTATTGCATCTACATGACCAGACCTGGCTTACCTGTGCCTTATTTACAACTGTGCATTTCGGAGGCTGCAGAGAAAGCCAGCACCATCCTTAGGAGGGATGTAGGTGTCCAGCCCCTGCCAATGCAAGTATCTGGGCGGGTGGCTAGGCCGGGTGCTGAGGGTCAGCTCTGGAAGCTTCTTCCACCACCTCCACCACCCTGGGAGCTTACCACTACAGTCTGACCTGTGGGAAGTGTCCTGCCTGCCAGAGCCTCCAGATAGGGAGGAGCAGAGCTGCGCTTCTCTATTGTGATAGTCAAAGCTGAAATGTGGGGTTTATGTGGCCAGCTCTGTAAGTCTGTCCGGGGGCAGTGGCAGAAGGGGGAGAGACCAGGACAGGCATGGTGTGCACGGCCTTGGAGACGGGACTAATGATTTTGAAGCTGACTCTGGGACCTCCAGCTCAGAAACTGTGGGCCCTTCTGGACCTGGTATCCTTCAGTTCTACCTCCCACTGTTGACCGTGGGAGACCCAGCATCTTCTCTCTGGCTGGGTCTACCAGGAGAGTAGTTTCCGAGTTAGTAGAGTACTCCTGAAGATTGGTTGTGCCCATTGCCACCAAGACCTAGATGCAGAAGTGCCCTGGCCAGCTGTTTCCTCTAGGACCCCCCTCCCTCATCAGCACTGGGCCAGGGAGCTCTGTTCACAGGAAGCCTTTGGGACCAGTATTGCAAGCTGCAGGGGACAGGCTTGTCCTTGGTGAACATTACATAGAAGCTGCCCTTTCAGGTTTTGCTGACCACCTTGGTCATGGCCTTTTCCCTTCCTTGAAACCTCCTGATCACAGATAAGAGGCTAGTCACACAGGGGTGGGTTAGGGTGGTTGCAGGCGTTTCTCTCATGGTCACACTACAAGGTAGAGAGTCACTTGTATTTTTAGAACATTTATGCTGCCCTAGAAACAGTCATTTCAAAACCCAAAGTGCCTGCTCCTGTGTCTAGCTCTCCCTGCAAGTGACCAAGAAATACCCAGAGTTGGCTGTGGGGGCCCAGAGAGCCCTTCTTTCCAGTGCCCACCCTTTCTCTCCTTTTCCAGGGGTCTGCTAAGGCTCCTGGCCTTTGGAGCTTCTGCCTCTGAGTATGCCCACTAGGGTTCATGCCCACCAGAGCAGTCTGTCCACATAGGTACCACTCCCCTCCTGGGGAGCACTTGGGCTGCAGAGAAGTGGGCTGCACAAAGGTGGCGGGGACTTCTGATGGGCAGATGGTGACATGCCTCCCAGGGATACACTTGTGGTTAGCCTTTGGTGGATACTGACATGGGTGAGGCCACACTGGCAGGAAAGCCACAGAAGGTCTTGTCATGGAGCCATGGGTGGTGTTCTGGTTGGCTGAGTACAAAGGAAGGCTGGGGGCTGATGGAACAGCTGACACATGCCTAGAAGTATGGGATTTTCATACTGAAACAAGCTGTGTGGTAGTGGCAGCAATGGGCAGGGGAGGGAAGATTCTGCTTTTGGGTCACATGACTTGCGCCTGGGCCCCTGGTTGGGCATCCATATGCATACTGGGGAGTTGGTCACATCTGAGGATGACTTCCTGTGCCTTAAATCCATTGACTCCTGTCATGGTCACTTGGACTAGGGCCTCCATGGTCCCAGTGGATCTTTCTTGACTGAAGAGAGAAGGCAGCTGAAGCTGTGCCTATGTGGTGTCCTAAGCAGGGAGAGAATGCCACCCAGGTCACGTGACAGCACAGAAGCTGGCCTTCTCACTCCACATGGCCTGAGAAGACTCTGAGCTCTCTTTTTGTTCAGAAGTATCTGAATGTTTCAGGGAGAGAATTTGTCATCCACAGGCTTGTAGAATTGGGGACAGAGAAACAAGAATCACCCAGGAGAACAGAGGAAATGACACCACAACTTCAGAATAAAAACACGGACAAGTTATACAGAAGGGGAACCTTAACGGCTGACACTTCTAATATGACACCGAGCCTTATGGTTGAGAACTTTCCTTTTTGCCCCTCCCCTCAAATATTCTTTTTAAATAAATTTCTTTACCTTTTGCCAAAACCAGAAATAAATAGCCCAAAAGAGATGTTTATCTAGGTGTTTCTCTACAGAGTTCTACCCAAAGTAACCTTGTCCACGCCTGTACACACTGGGAGTGAAGACAAGGGAGCTGCCTGAAGGAGGGTGCTACCCGGGCTGTCAGATCAGAGACAGGGCCCCGGACCCCTCTGAGGTGGCCAATGCCATCATCTGTACATAAGAGGCTGTCTCTGGGATCCCAGCCTGCTCAGGAAGAGGTCAGAGCAAATGAGAAACTCCAATGGTACATGGCTGTCTTGCAGGGAGAGGTGTCAGGGACAGTTTCCAAGGTCATGGAGAACTGTGGCTGCTCCCAATGTGTCTTGCAGTCACAAACTGCACTGGGATCCCTGCAGTGTGTGTGCAGGCTGCACACACAAAGGGAGATCCTTGGGTGTCCACTCAGTGTTCTGTGGGGCTCGCAGACTCTGGGTATACAGTATCTTCATCTGGAGTCTCTGTGCCTGCTGCAGCCAGTGTGGAGTTCTGGGGGATGCCAGTGAGGGCTCGGAGGCTGTGGGGATCGACTGGGGGCACAAGGGTCAGTGACTCAACACTCAGTGTGTCGGCAGTGTCCTCATAGAGCAAGGAGATGGTGGGCTGCTGGGCGGGGAGGAGGCTGGGGGCCAGGTGCATGGTCTCCACCTCAGAGCTTCTGGCCAAGTTCTTGCTGGGCTTGGAGTTGACATCCATTTCATTCACAATCACTGACTGGTCTAGAAGGTGAGGCTGAGGCTGTTCTGGAGTTGTGGGGGCATCTAGGGAGAAGGAAAGCAGAGATAGTCTCAACTCTGGTGACACTGTAATCAGCTGGCACCCGCTACTCCTGTCCTGCATCAAGGTAGAAAAACCTGTGGGGAGACTGCTGGTATTAGGGCATGGCCTGGTTCCACTTACTCCCTTTGGGGACCCAGATACTGGTAAGTCTCATTGTACTTAGGGGTAGTGTGTCAGGATTCTGGGTGCCCGACTGGTGACAGCAGGGAAAAACTCAGACCGTGTGAAATCAACATGGTGATAGTGAAAGTGAAACCTGGCCTGGGCAGGCTTTGTGTGCAGGGTGAGTCTGCAACAACTGACTGATGATAAATGCATAAATGGAAAGCAAACAGGCTGGGGTATAACTACAGGCTATTTTCAGAGGCTACATTTGGAGATGGTTTCCAAGGAGTCCAGTGTAATAGTTTTAAAAAAGTGATAGAACTTTTTAGTTTTTAAAATTTTGTACTGTGGTTTGCCTTTGCCTTCTGTAAGTGCCGAGTTAGCATCTACCAAGGGGATGTGATTAGCAAGGCCACGGCTGTCAGAGGTTTCCCACCAGGGTCATGAAGAAGCGTCATAGCCCCCACCAGATGTACAATAGCTGGTTGTTGTTTGTTTTGGTGCTTTATAAACCCCCAATTAGACCGTAGATAGACTGTGGCCACTTGCTTTCAATGATGAATCAGCCAGGAATGTGTGACATTCAAGGGAAATGTCATCCAGAACTGCAGAGGCCAGGCATTTTCAGACCCCAAGAGGAAGTGCTAGGAGTGTCACTTGGGCTGCACACTCATATTGTATGGATTTTAGCCTTGGAGCCATGTGAAGAGACTTAGGGGGTATATGGGCCATTGTTTTGGTTCAATGCTATTCTGGTCAAATTTATTTTTGTTTTCTCATTTAAGCCAAAATAAAACAGAAAAGCGAACGGAACATAGAGCCAAAGGATGGAAGAATGAAGAACAAAATAAAAGCAGGTGACATGAAGAATGAGTGGAAAGCAGAGGAGCCACGGGTAAAGGAGTGCACACTGACTCTCCCAGGACGCACCAGACTCCAGGAGGATGGAATTCAGAAGGGCCCAGGCAATTCTTTCCTAAGGGTTTTACTTTTGCTTTTTGTACTGCTGGGGGATGGAAGCTAGGGCCTCAGGCATGCAAGCCCAGTTTTACCCCTGAGCTACTACACCAGCTTGCACTTCCTTTAAAAAGAAAAGATAAGAGGGAGAGAGCCTGTGGCTCTTGCCCATCCTTGCCTGAGGGCCTGTGGGTGTCAGTGAGAATTGATGCAAAGAGATAGAGGTATGAGCTAAGCCCAGAAGTGCTGTGTTCACACCATCAGTGCTGCTTTCTCCGGCTTTCTACTAACTTGTTCCATTGTGTACCAATGCCTGTGAACTGGGGGGCTTCAGCTCGGGTCCCTGTTCTGACCTTGTGTGAACCTTGCCCTCTCCAAATGGCACTCAGTGACCTCTACAACAGTTTTCAAATGGGTCTGAGCCTACCTTGGAACTCCTCCATAAAGGATCCACATCTAGGCAGCTTGGAAATGACTCCCCACAAATGAAACGGTCCTGCTGTTGGGGTAGGGGGGTAAGCAGTGGGGGCAGAAGCTTTGCCTCCTTGTCTCCTTACCTTTCCTGGTTCTCTATGGGACTTTTGCAGATGACAATAATCAGGAAGGTAGAAGAACCATAGTCAAAGCCATCAAAAAAAGCAAAACAACTAACATTGTCACATGGGACACAACTAACATTGTCACATGGGCAAATGGCTACCTTTAGAAAGGTAACAACTCTGTTAAAAGGGCTGTTTTTTTTTTTCACCTTTAAAAATACTCCTAGCTCTTGCTCCCACCTTCAATTGTTGCTTACACTAGGAACTCCTTCCTGTAAACAGGCAGCAAGTACATATAACTAAAGTGGCAAATGAGAAGTGTAAAGGACAAGCAGCAAAGGTGACCAGTTGGACCTTTGGAATCTTTTTTGCTGAGGCCTCTGGGCCTAAAGGCTACAAACTGGGACTGGAGAGGAGGGGTTTGGATGTGGGCTGGGGAGGTAGAACATGGCAAGAGAGGCAGCTATGCAAGCTTGTGTTCCCAGGAGGGATGAGGGGCTCCTGCCTCTGCCTGTCAGTGCACTAGGAAGTATCTTGGCTGACCCCACAGATGTGACCTACAGCGTTAGAGCAGGGCCGCACTGGTCTTTGTAAAGTAGGTGATGGCTTCCAGAAATGATGTGGACTGGTGGTATATAGGCTGGCAAGGCAGGTAAGTGCTGTGGGAAGGAAGGAAGGGCTCCATGTAGCAAGCTGATGCAAAGCTCAGAGGGTCAGCTGTCGAACTGAAAAGAAAGTGAAGGGCTCCTGCTGACACACATTGTCAGCACATGGACATGTCAACAAGCATGGGGGGGGGTGTCCCAGGATGGCAGCAGTGATGGTCCTGATAAGGGGAGCCCAGATCACCTCTCCTGGCGATGTGTAAAGGACTGGGGCACTGGAAAGATGGCGCTTATCAAGGAGGTAGGTAACATTGGCCTGGAAAGCAGCTGCACTTGCTGTTTAGTTTTGGTCAAGGCTGGGAAAGAACATTCTAGGTTGCTTTTTATAAGCTCTCAATCCTCTAGTTAACAGTGAGCTCAACTGCAGGCTATCTGTGTGGACCCTGGACATGGCCTTCAGCTCAGGACTGACTCTGGAGAGGCTACACTCAGTCTGATATTGGATAGGGACACCAAGGAAGGATGGACCTGGGGGCAGAGGGCTGGGGGCATGGCCTTAGACAGAGGGCAGAAAGGGAAGGAAGCTGAGATCAGGATCGTGTGCTCTCTAGGCCCAGCTTTCCCACCCTGCTCATGCCGACCCTGTTGCATGTGGCAGGGACATTACGGGCCCATGGGGGCTCCTGAAGGAGACCTGCCTGATTTGATTGTGCGTGAGTTGCCGTGGCAGCTGCTGGTCGAAGCACTAAACCCAGTGGCCGCCGTGACTGTCGGCCTCCGACAGGCTGAACACACGCCGGCGTCCTTTCCTGCCATTCCTGACTAGAGGGAAAACACAGCGACAGATCATAGAAAGCCTGTAACAATGAACGGCGAAGGTGAGGTGGAGAAAGGGACACAGCAGTGACAGACACTGAGCATTAGCAAGAACAAAGGGAGACTGGCTGTGGCTGGAGTGGTACCCAGACTGCCAGCACACCATATAGACAGGACACATCCATGCTGTCCCCAAGATGAGCCAAGGTCAGGAGATCTAAGAAAAAAAATTTTTCATTTATGCAACTTTTCTTCTTCTTTTTATTAGACAGGGCCTCATATAGTCAGGGCTGGCCTTGGATTCTGCTATGCATCCAAGGAGAACTGAGTACATTACAGGCATGAACTCCTGAGTACATTATAGGCATGCCTCCTGAGTACATTACAGGCATGAACCACCAGGCCTAGTTTATGTGGTCCTGGGCTGGAACTCAGACTTTGTAGTAAATGCCAGGCAAGCACGTGGTTGATCCCTTGCTCATTCAGCTTAATATGGTCAGAGACAGAAGGTTCAACCCTGTTGCAAAGATCTGGGTCACTGATAACTTCTGGTCTTGTCAGAAAAATAAGGGGACAAAAGGACAAAACTGCCTGTCAGTTTTATCTGGGACCTGCAGAAAGATGGGAAATACAGGAGGAAATGCCTGCAGGAAGAGGGTCAGAGGAGCAGAGCCAAACCAGAGGGAACTCAGCATTTCTGACTCTGGGGAGGATAAATCCTGGATGTTGGAGGTGTCCTGACACATGCCAGAGACTCACAGTGATATTTGGGGGAGAGGGATGACCTGGAAAGCCCCACCTTGGGAACCAAGGACCAGGGCACAGAACAGGAAATGGGAAGACCAGCACCCAGTGGCTAAGTGGGAAAGCCACAAGCTGGAACAGCAACACAAGGAATGGCTCATCCTGTGTTTGGGTCATATTCTCAAAGACAAACTACAAGAGTAGAGCTAGGAGTAATGCCACAGAGCACAGTGGGAACACGAGTAAACACCACAGGATGTCATGCTGAGAATGGCCACACTTGTCTATTTCATGTTGGGTATATTTTGCCACTATCCAAACAAAAACAAAAACAAAACAAAACACCACTGTAGAGAAAAGACAACACTGTGTCCTCCCTGGAGTACCTGCCCTTGTGTCCAGAACATCAGTGTAAGAATTAAGGAGGGATGCTCAGAGAGGGTGCAGGGAAGAAGGGAGCCTGGGGTCAGAGTTTATGGAGGCTCTCAACACTTAACCCCCGGAAGCCAGCTCCGTCTTTTTCCTGTTAGCCCCTGGGACGGCCAATGGTGGCTGCAGTGCATAGGCTGACATTTACATTCACAAGGGCAGCCTGACCTTCACTCTGGCATCATTTCCAATAAACACATTCTGTCTCCCTCCTTATAGAAGCTCACAGACATGGTAAAACTCAGCACATGTGAATGCCAGAAATGCAAGGGGCTGTTTAAGGAGTGCAGCGGAGGTCATGGAACCACTGTCCGAGGGGCAATTTCTCATCAGGATTCCATAAAGAAGACAGCATATTGGCACATGTCTGTCATCTCAGCATGCTGGAGGCCGAGGTAGGAGGAACATTAGTTCAAGGCTAGTCTGTAAGACCTGTCTCAGAAACAGAATTCCACAGAGTGTAAGAGTGTACAACCAGGTATGACTTTATGGCCAGCTAAGCATGCTCACATTTGTGCATGCATCAGTATGACGTACAGGGTCCTGGACCCACACTAGGTTCTGACAAGGGGTCCACTGTTCCCTCCCCATGCTGCTGCTTTTGATTTCAGCTTCTCAAAAAGGGAAAGCGTTGACTCCAGCCTGCTGCCATATTCTCACCAGGCTCAAGCAGAGGCTTGTCATGCTAGTTGTGTGGGACACGTGGTGCCTGGTGGTGATACAGTAATACATGGTGTTCAGATCTCCACCAAAGTGCTGGCCACCCCAAAGCACTTCTGTTGAAGTTTAATGGAGCCGGGTGCCATGATGGAGGCCTGCAGTCTTTGCATGAGGAGTTTGAGGAGAGGTCACTTGGCCCCAGGACTTTAAGGACAGTCTTGGCAACACAAGACTAATTTCAAAAAAATAAAAAAAAACAAGATACAAGAAAGAGCAATGGGCAAACAGACTAAATGGTGACTGGGGTGCTGTCCTCTTGGGTGCAGCTTTGAGAGGTAAAAGCTGACCAGGAACACAAAGCCTCTTCTTGCTGTCTCTGACAGGTTCCTCAGGCAGTCTGGGACTCAGTGTGGGCTCTTTCTTAGTTTGTTTTATCTTTGGACACCCAATTTGAGCCCTTGTTAAAAAGTCATTTGAAATATGGAATTTTTATGGCAGGGAGGGGACACAGCAAGGCACTGTTGGTACAGCACACAACTTGATTCTACAGGGCACCCTTTCTCTGGGCTGAGGTCCCAGTTTGTGCTGGGTCTGCAGGTTCTAAAACCACTTCTGTAGTCGGAGGGGCAGGATATGCAGGGAAGCTTTAGGGAGATAGGTAGAGGACTCTACTTGTCTCCACCAAGATAGAGGGACAGGGCCCAGTTGGACTTGTGTGAGACTCAGACACCTGCTCCTTAGGGCTCCTGGCTTGCAGCATTCATTCCTTGGGTCTTGTCTCTAGACAAGAAGACAAGAGCCTTTTGCAGCTGGTCTGTGCCGGCTGATGGAGCCCCTCCCTGGTCCCTCATTGTGGGTTCCAACTGCAAAAATGCCTCTGTAGTCATCTGATGGGCCTTGTCTGTCCCCTTTTCTGTGAGAACCCTGGTTTGCCACTTTGGTGTCCCTAATGTCTGTGCACAGAGGAACCCATCTGCCTAGAAAAAGACAGCACAGTGAAGACGATTCAGGGAAAGAAGCCAGTGAAAGGGCCCATCCAGTAGAGGGGTGTCTTGGGGCAGGTCTCAAGGCCATCTAACCAGGATGGGCAGCCTGTACTACAGATGCCTGGGAGCACAGACTAGAGCCCCCACAGGAAGCTCAGAATGTCCATCCTGGGGTACACTTGAGCCTCTTTCAAACTCAGGCAGGAAGTGTGAGGTTGACCTAGCTGGACAAAGCAGATGCACAAATTACCATCCTGGGCACCAGCCTGTTTTACCCCTACTGTAGGGATGAACCTGCATCAGAAGAAAACATGGCTCTCTAGGGTCTACTGTGCTTTGGGGGACCCCAGAAGCATTCCTTTGATTGGGACCCACAAGGCCCAACCATCTGCTACCTAGGACTATGCACTTCCAGGCTCCATGATTAGGACTGTGGCTTTGGAGCTGGGCCCACAGGCAACAGTGTATGATGAATGACAGCTGTGAGACAGTTGTTACAGATAAGAGTTCAAACTCTGATCCAAGTCCATGATGCTTTTTGCCAGATCTTTAACCCATTCAGACTGGTGTAATTCATGTCTGTTACTTGTGGGTCTGGTGTGCTGTTTTGACACATGTATCTTATATGTGGTCATCAAGTCAAGGGAAGAGTAGTGTCATCACTTCAGACATTCAATTCAGCCTTTCTGTGATCAGGACTATACCAGTCTGCTCTTCTGGCTATTTTGAAACTGACAGAGAAGTACGGGGACCCAGAGCTGCCCTATTGAATTACTCAGCCCTAGACCCTAACCTTTCCACTTAGCTGCATTTTTGTGATCTGCCCCTTGTGTATCTTTGAGTATTCAATATCATGGAGCAGACATGGGAAACTGGTCTCTCACTAGCTAGATAGCATCAATCATATACTTTCCTGACCAGATACCTGACTTTGCAGTGGGACATTGGTATCTCTAAGTCTCTGAGTTTGCCATCCTGGCTTCGAGGAGCCTGGCAGCTGCTCTCTATACCAAGCAGCTCCCTGGCCTCTGGGAGGTTCAGTAAATATAAGGTCAGCAATGCTCTGTGTTAGCGCCACACCCTCAAAACTACTCTGAGGACAAATGGACTCTTGGCAAGGCCATAGCTGTACAGGCTGAGCAGCAGGGATAGAAGGTGAATGATGTGGGGAGAGGCTTCTCAGTTTCCTCCAACTACCAGCTGGATGTCCAAGGACAGTGCCTCGAGCTGATGGTGGCAGCTCATGGCAGATTTAACAACTGGCCAGCAGGTTATGTAGGGGCATCTTCTCTGACCCTCAAATAGAGGTAATATCAAACTCAGACACTTGGTGGAGGGGCCCTTACCCCTTCCTCTTGTCCTTGGCCTTCCCCCAGCCCAGCCTGATAGGGCACGGGCAACGGGGAGAGCAATCTGGTAAGGCTGGACCTTCAGAACAAAGCAAGTACTTGGTTCTGGATGGAAAGGGGTATCCTGAGGTGGAGATGCTCATAGGCTCCCGTGGGTTCTTCTTAGAGTCAACAGCTGCATCTCAGGGCATCTGATCTCCCTCCCCCCAGACTGAAGCATAACTCTCTTTCAGGGTCAGCTTTCTGGAAGAGGTGAGCTGCTGTGGAGTGGACAGAAGGGGATGGGTAGCCAGTCTCAAGCTTTTACTGTCATGTCACATAAAAAATGGGGCTGGTGTGCCTGCTGGGATACAGTGAAAAGGAGCAGACACCTCAGAGGCCCTGACTATCACTTACTCACTGGAACTGCCTGGCCATCTGACAGCCTGGCTAATGGCCCCTGGATTTGTGAGATCCGAAGACATGTTGTTGGCACTGGGCAGGGAATGGTAGGGATTGGGGGCTGATGGAGGCCAAGGCAAAAATAACGAGTGCACATTGTAGGGTTGATTTGGACCATGTAGGGCTTCTCTCTGGCTTTAGTTGTAGGCAAAGAAGTTATATGGCTACCTGCTCACTTAGATGCTGGCTCTGCCTCCTTAAAAGTAGAAGAAAGGTACCTGTAGCTATGTGGAAAAGACCTTCCACCCTAGGAGTGTGGGCAGACAGGAGTGTCTGGGTTTGTATGTAGATACAGAAATGTGCATGTTAGCAAGTGTATACATATAGTACATGGATTAAAAAACCCTGCATTCCTGTCCTAGAGCAAGGTGAGGCCAAGGTAGGGGTCCCAGGAGCTGGAAGCCTGGGAGTAGCACGGCAACTGCTTGGATCTGTAGCTAACCTCCAACTGAATCCAGAAGGTACTTCACCCTAGCCTAGGGCAGGGAGAAGAGCAGACAGTAAGCTGGAAGAGGTTCCAGTGAGGAGGACCTGAGGGTGACCTGCCTGCCTGGGCCTGTGATAAGAGAGATAGGAAAAAGTACCTTGTGGGGGTAGCACAGGCGGGCTAGGATCCTTTGAGCCACAGGCATGGGTACAAGGGTGACTTAGACCTCTGCTGGGAAGATGAAGACTGAAAGCATTGGGGAGTGAAGTATAATACACAGGAAGACACTGGTCCCAAGGGTGTGGGTATGATACCATGTCCTTCTCCTGGCATGGCTCTCCCCATGAGTCCTCACTCCACAATTAAACAAGAGGAGGGATAAGTAGCCTATGAGATATGCTGGGCAGGGCTCTGGTCAGACCTTGGAGGCACAGAGAAGGGCATGGAGGGGTACAGGCTAGAGACAGGGATCCCCTGTAGATCATGAGGTAGTACTGCTGAGTAGGAAACCCTGTACTGGCTGGGGACACTGGGCTTGTCCCTATTTTAGCCCTGCCTTTTTGGCTGCATTTGGGGCTGTGCTAATCAAGAACCAAGTCTGATATCTGTCCCTTGGGACTTGATGCAGAACAGATAGACACATGCGTGCAAGCTGCTCATAAAAACAACAGCCCAGGATGAGGCAGGTGGAGGTGGGGGCACCTGTGTGACTCCACTTTATGGACTCTTTCTTTATGGCCTTTGAATCAGTATATATTAAAGATGTGATCCTGCTCTGCCTGGATGAACTCCCTTAGAGTGGCTGGGCATGCCTCTGGTGGGACATCTAGACAGTAACCAATACCAAACACTGAAAGAGGAAGCTTGTATGTTGGAGCACAATTACTGGGACATGATTCTTCCTTCTCCTAGGTTTCACACAGTCATCCCTAAGCAACCCCTTCCTGGTGACACACAGAAATGATGACGTGCCACTTAGGCAAGGCCTAGCTGATGGCATCCCCAATAGCTCTGGGGTTATGAAAGCCCTACAGAGCAGAACAGTCAATGGGCACTATCCCAGGTAGTGGGTGTTGCCATCTTGCTCAACCATAAAGAACACTCTTGAGTGGCAGTGTCTTCCAGACATCATGAGGAGGAGCTGTGGGCCAGAGGTCATAGCAGAGGTGAGGGGTCACAGTGTCCCCAAAGACCCTCCCAAAGCCTCCCATATCTCACAGCCAATACCTGCTGGGCTCTGTGCTGCTGAGGGTGTGGAGGAAGAGCCCCCTGAGTCATAGTGGCTGGTGCTCCCACTGCCGCCGGGGCTCCCACTGGCAGATGGTGGTGATGGTGATGACAAGGACGGAGAGCTATGCTGGTTTATGCATTGGGCCACAGCAAAGCCTGCAAGACAACAGTATGAAACATGATTAATTAGAAAGAATGCTGGCAGGTTTTGCAAAAGGGGTGTCACCCCCATGATGAACTGGAGACACTATGAGGCCAGCTTTTGCCTCAGAGGCACCATGGGGGCCTCCATGTCAAGACAACTGTACTGGACTTGTCTCCCTGTAAGTCTTGGCATATTTTCCAGAATGAGCTCCTCTCTCTGGTCAGGGGCTAGTCTGGGAATGTGTGAAGCTGCTTTCAAAAACAGCTGTCATTGACTAGACCACGGCAGGTCTGTGGTGTTTGTTGCAGCCATAGCAATGGTTGGCTGTGCTTTGGAACTTCAGGGCTCCTGTTAAAGCTAACACAGAAAGACCAGTACCCTCATGGCTAAGTTTTAGGCCTCATTTTGCCAAAGGGAAGGCAACCTGGGCAGTCACTAGGAGAGTGGAGAGACCTGATTGTTGTCCCCTGACTAGAACCCATCCTGACAGGACAGGGTCAGGAGTAATGAGGGCTCTGTTAAAGAGCTCGAGGACAGTCACCAACAGCCCACCCTAGAGCCACTCAGATGTAGAGGCTCTGTGGTTTGTGGCCACACAACATCTGGAGGGGCCTAGCTCCCAGTCTTAGAGATACTTAGCTCTGGATGATGAAATCCACTTCTCAGTAGCAGGTAAGTAGCTACTTTGGCCTTTCAGTCTGTTTCTGGTTGTTCACTCTCATGGCCTCAGCATGGGCAGTGTACATGGCAAATGCCCATTAAAAGTGCTCTTTAGTGACTGATGACTCAGTAGTATGAACACTGGCTGCTCTTGCAGAGGACACATATGACAGCTCAGAATCCCACCTGTCATTTCAGTTCTAGGGGATCGGATGCCTTCTTCTGGCCTTTGTGGATACCAGGCATGCACATGATGTACATACATTCATATAGGCAAAATACCCAGGTGCATAAGATAAAATTAAATATTTTTGCTATTATTAATTATTATTATTGTTTTTTGAGACAGGGTTTCTCTGTGTAGCCCTGGTTGTCCTCAAACTCAGAGATTTGCCTGCCTCTCCCTCCCAAGTGCTGGGATTAAATGTTTGTGCCACCACCACCTGGAAAATCTTAATTTTTTTTTTTAAAGAAAAGTGTTCTTTATGTTGGGTGTAGTGGAATACACCATTAATCCCGACACTCAACATGAGGCAGAGGCAGAGGCAGGGAGATCTCTGAGTTTGAGGCCAGTTTGGTCTATATAGTAAGATCCTGTCTAAAAAAAGAAACCACTAACAACAAACCCAACCCCAAAAGTACCTCTTCATGACAGAGCTCAGTTTTGCAGGCCAGCCCAAGAGCTGTACCCCTGCCTCACGCTGAGCACAGACTGGGGCTTCTGAGCGCTTCCCTTCTGCCCTCCCAAAGGGCTGCAACAGCTGACTCTACTCTCTACAGACATGAAAACCCCCACAGAACAAATACCTCAATGCCCTTGCGCCCATGCAGACACGTGGTCTCTGCTGCAGCCCCTGGAGCTGGTGCTCTGCCAACCACATTCATCCGTTCCCTTAGTCAGAACTACAGTAAGGTAAGACAGGTCAGGGGCCAGTCATTTAACAGAAAGGGTACCCTGACATTCCTGGCTACTCTTAGTGAACATACTCAGTAGTACCAGCCTCATTCTGCCCCTCCTGCACTGCTGAAACCACCAGCTCCCAGAACTTCTTCCAGGAGGCCCTCTAGGATCCACCTTACTTCTACAGAACATAGGTGCTGGTCACTGCTTTTTAAGTGTGACAGAAAAGCTGACCAGATTTGGAATTGCCATGACACGGACAAACTTTTGGAACTTGGTTTAAATGCAGCCTGGCTACACGGGGTAGAGTCATTGTCATAGAGACCATGTGGATCGAAAAGCATAAAGTACTTCTATGGGAGCAGTGTGTTCAGTCCCATGTAGTAAGTACAAAGGGTAGAGCAGGTTCTGGCCCCTGGGGGATGGGGTGGGGTTCAGGCAAGGCCCTGAACCTCCTCACTTCCTTCTCTTCATCTAGAGACAGGACCCTGCTCTACACATCCCCTCTGTGTAGGCTCTCTGGGAACAGCTTTCTGTGCTAATGTTCATGAAGAACTATTGTTCTCAACTGACCAAGCTCACTGACACCCTTGACTAGGCTCTAGGGATAGGTGGCATGTGTTATGGCAGCAGCAGGTGGATGGGGCCTGGTGGGTAGCATATCTCTGAGTGTGATGGGCAGTTTCACTCAGGAGCTCTTTCCTGGTAGGCAGTGCTTCCTGCCCTCATCTACTGTCTACCTCAGATGGCTGTTACAGAGGAACAGTAGTGCCCCTGGGCTCCAGACCCCATGAAGCTACACTGGTAGGTTGACTGATGGTGGCAGGAGAAGCCAGGAGAGGAAAAACGGCAAACGTCTGCCAGCGGATCCCAACACTGCTCAGGAGAATTCCACAGGGACAATCAGCCACAGCTTTGCACAGAGAATTTTATAGCTGCCTACTTCTTAATCACCTACAGTGGTAAACCCCTGAGTTTACAAGCTGTTTACTTGCCTTGAAAATGAATTACCCTGTAACAAATCAAAGTGTCGGTGGCTTTTCCCAAGCTGCCAATTTATCACATATACAAACAATCTGAGTGTTGGAACAGTGTTGGGACTGAACCTTGTGTGCTCCTGAATGGATGAGTGACAAATCTGGGACCTTGGGGGTCTCTAAAGACATGGGCCTTCTGTCACTGTGACTTATCTGGAGTGAGGTTCATGAGGGGATGAGCCAGGGTATTAATGTCTTTTCCTGGGTAGGGCAGAGCTTAGTGGTAGAGCACTTGCCTAGCATGCAGGGTGCCCTGGGTCTTTTGAAAAGACAAAAGAAAGTTTTTTTCAGTTGGGGGTCAGCAGCAAGTCTTAGACTGGTAATAAAATTTGCATGTAATTAGAGTTGAACAGAAAATGGAATCTCCAGACTATAGTCTTGCCATTTAAAAAATATTTTCCTATTTACTTATGGCATGTGCATGTGTTTATGTGTGGGCATGTGTGCTCCAGCATGCTTATGTGGGAGGGATGTCTTTTCCTTCTGTCATATAGGACCTGGGTACTGACCTCATGTCATCAAGCTATTGTACCCAACCACCGGTCATAGTTTGCAGGATCTACTGAGTAGAGGTGCTGAGCTTACATTTATTTCCCTCTCTTCTTGCTGCTCAAATCTCTCCCCCTTCCTCTCCATTCTCCCCACATGCTGCAGCTTCAAGGGGCTGTCTTCCATACTAACTTGCCATATTGGGTGTGTGTGTGTGTGGACACTGGAGAGAATTGCAGACGGATGCTATGGCTGAAGCCTGGACCTCAGAATTCTTGCTTTATCCCAGCAAGGCAATTCTGGATGAGCTAGCTACAGCAGAGAAGCCAGAGGCCTTCTGGGCCTGTGTCAACAAACAAGGCCTGCCAAGTCCTTGCAAACACATAGACAAGCCAGGGATCATGGGATGGTTAACAGGCACCCAAGCTCCCTGGGGTTATCTCTACTGATGACAAGCTTGGCTTACTCTGTGTCTGTCTCGAGGACAGCTCTCAGATGTGTACCAAAGGCTTTGGGGACTCGCAGGCCTTTGGACCTGGTCTGTGTCTAGGAATTGGAGTCAATGATGGTGGCAGCAGTGGGGGATGTATGAGGGGGGGGATCCACACACTGATGAATATGGGGAATGGTTAAGACATGGATGTGTTTAGTGCTGGAGTAAAGCCAATGCATTCTGACATAGCCAAATGATGAAAGCCCACACTGTTGGCAAAATTGCTGGCAGAAAACAAGATTAAATGCCTAGAGAAGTGCTCAAGAAGTGGCAGGTAAGGGAAGGTTAGCAAAAGTATGTCCACATACTCCTACTGAGAAACATTCAGGCTTTCCTTATCTCTGTCCAGAGTAGAGAAAACAGCTGAAGGAGCTGAGGTTGTGGGAGGAATGGGTGGGTTGAGAGTTGGGTTTCACTGTATTTGGGGGCTTGTCTGAACTTTTTATGCTCCACTCCTTACTATTAAGTACTGTTGTTTGGAGACAGGGTCTCATGTGTCTCAGACTGACTTGGATAGCTTGAACTTCTGATCCTCCTGCCTCTATTTCCTTGAGCACTGAGATTACAAGCCTGTGAAACCATGCCCAGTTTATGTGGTGTTGAGATTAAACCCAAGATTCTGAGCATGCTAGACAAACACTGTACATTCCCAGTCCTATGAACATTATTTCAAATCAGGAATGAAGAGGGTAGGGAAGGAATAAGCTACCTGGAAGCTGGGCACACTCAGGCCTAGCAGTACCACCCACTATGAGACACTCTGGTCTCCCAGGCTACCTCCCTGTGAGTTCTTGGGACCTGGACAAACTTTTACAGAGCAGGGCCAGGCAGATGGACCCATGCCAAGAGCAAGACATCCATCCCCTTGCTTTGCAGAATCCCTGAGATGCATGGGGCGCCTGGAGCCTTCCTGTCTTCCTCTGCTCCATTCTGCCAGGATTCTGGGAATGTGAACTAATGAAGAGCTCTCTGGCATTTGTCAAGAACAAAATTACCACCAAAAGGTCAGCCTTCTATTTTAGGCTCAACAACAGAGGGAATACTGGGCATGGAATCAGAACCCCAGGTTCGAGTCCAAGCTCTGCCTACTTTGGCTTTGAGACCCAGGATGAGTGCTTTCCTCTGTTTCCTACTCTTAGCTCTCACTTTTAATAACTAGGTTCATGAGATTTCAGAAGCTGAACTAGTGATGGTGGTCTACAGGGCATCAGCTAGCTTATATCTATTCTGTGTTACACTAGTACAATAACATTGAGAGATTCCACACATAATGTCTGCCTTATAAAACACAAAGATCAGGCATTGCAGGGCCTTGTCCTGACACAGCTGGAACAAGAGTGAGGTGACAGAGCTGCCCTCTCCTTTCTGATCTGCGCCGTGGTAGTTCAATTTCATTTCTGTTTCCATTCTTAGATTCCTAGACAAATCTAC